AAGCATGTTTTCATTAGCAACAATAATGCTTAAAAAAGAGTCAGCTTTCATGCACATATTGGGCAATTTACCTGTGTCAGACTGCATGCTGAATATTTTATATCAGCTGTTCTCAGAGTGTGGTCTGGGGATTTTGGTGTCACTGAGACCTGTTCAGGTGATTAGCCAAGTTAAAACTATTTTCATGATAAACCTAAGATGTTCCTTTTTCATTCTAATTCTCTCACTCATATAGTGTTTTCCAGAGGGTACACTATATATGATAACAAAACTGGCTGAATATAGAAACAGATATGAGGATTCACTTATCTTTTATTAAACTAGACATTAAAGATATTGTTTTAAATAAATAAATGCCACTCTTCTCACTGATTTTGTTGTTGTTGTTGTTGTTTTAGAAAATATTTATTTTTCATTAAAATGAGATTTACGTTAACAGGTAACGGGGTTGACTATTTTTATCTTTAAACAAATTGTAATTTGTTTTAAAAAGTCTCAGTTTGAAATTTTAATACCTTAAAACGAATAGATCCAGTTTTCACAGAAAAGCCCTTTGAAGTCCTTAATTTATAAAAAGGTCTTAAGTCCAATGAGTTTAAGATTTGTACTTATTCTTCCATTTGTGAAATTTTAGTTCCATCATTATTCCCATAACACAAACAAGAAAACAGAGAAAGAAATAAGCTGCCAAGATCACCCAAGGAATCTCTTAAACCAGTGTTGGAATAAAAGTCTAATTCCTGATTCTAATTCCTCTTAACTATTAAGCAACAATATCTACCCAAGATAAAGATCACTCTTAACATAGTTACATGGTAATCTCTGTTTAAAACATAATATTCTATATTGGTGCTGTATTCTTTCTTTTCATCTTACATAATGTGTACTCACTGTGATGTTTTAAATATATGGATTTAACTTTTTCCCAAATCAAACACTACAAAAATAAAATCCCATCCTGATCAACAGCACAAGCACCCAGTGAAGAAAACTACTGCTAAGAGTTTGGTGTCCACATATCCAAATTTATTTATACACATATGCATACATATATTTACTTTTTATCTGTGTGGCACAGTTCTTAAATGGGATCTCATAGATTTAGCAAATTGCCTTATTTCACTTAATACCGCTTTAAGATTTTCCAGCACCTATACACTTATCACTTGTTATAGATTATCATCATTTATTGCGCTCAATTGAGGTCCCTATATGGCTTGCTTCCAAAGTTTTGCTATTACAAAGTAGACACAAGAAATATGCTGTATCTTTGTGTACTTGTGAAGTCAAATCTGTCAGAAAATTCCTAGAAGTAAATTTTCTGGGTTAAAGGGTATAAACGTTACAAATCTTAACAGTTTTTGCCAGATGCCCTCCAAACTGTCCATGCACAAATTTCATTCTTACCAACAGCATATGAGATTTCCACCAATTCAGCTTTTAAGTACCTTAGAAAATTATACTTTTTGTTACTTCAAATGACAAGTACTAAAACCTTTCTCACTGGTCATCTTAATTCCAATCAGGACCCCATACAAATCACACTCGTCTCATCTTCATTTTTTCCTTAAACTTTTTAAATGCATCAGGCACATTCAAAATCTGCAATTAGTAAGTCCTCAAATATTAGGCACCTTAACAAAAAGTTATTTAAATTATTTCAAAACACAGGTCAGAACTATGCAATAAAGCTAGACTCACATACTTAAATCCAAGGAAAGTTGAAAGAGTAGATTTATTATGCTTTATCTGCCCAAAGGACTAAAGGCTGCAAATAAAAAGCTATCAAATGATACCAGTGGCCAAATTAGCTTACATAAAATAATAAGCAACAGATTTCATATCATAAATGTCAATGGAACAGACTGCAATAGTAAGGATGGCTGTAATTGGAAAGTTCACTGAAATTCACATCATACTGAAAATGAAAACATTAATATTTTAAATGAAATGTTTTGAATGTGACCATCCATTTCAGTCATATCAGACTAGAATAAATCTTTGATACTAATAAATATAATATAGTCTTTTCTTGAAAGTAGATAGTTTAAAACTGCATCACACACTGACCTGGCTATTCTGTATTGCCTAATAGATATTCCAGGCTTCATTATTTCATCAAAAATCTCTTTCTCTAGGACCTTGTGCCAGTAGTTTTACATTGAAGGTCTCCCACACATCTTTGTGACAAAGTAAAACCTCATTAATTCAAATCCAATTAGCTCAGTTCTGAAATGGTATATCTCTCATTTGGCATCAAGTTGAAAATACTGTAATGTCTTCCTCTACAAATTCTCATAAGAAAACCAACCTGAAAATCAATTTGCTTTTCTAAACCAAAGATTTACAAAACTAAGGACTCATCCATCTTCATAGCTGAGCAGTTCATGCTCAGCTCTAAGGTTCATGTCTGTTTATCAGCTACTGTATCTAGTGAAAGCGATTTAACTTGTCACTGTTAATAGCCATTTATAGTTTAATTTAAAGTATGAGCACTTCTTTCAAATAGTTCATACTCAGATTTTTCTCAAATGGACATTTGCCATTTCTCCCATTTCCAGTGGGTGAAATTATATATTATCACTTATTACCTACAATATAGCAAAGCATAATACCTTAAAAGGCACTAGAAGTACCTGGCATTCTTATTCAACATTTATCCTCATCATTTTGAAAGATTTTTATAAGCTAAAACAATAAGTCCCAGGATTAAGTGGGATGTTTGGTGTTGCTTGAACTTACAACTAACTACTCCCAATGAACAGAGAAACCTTCTCTTGCAATCTGAATCATGTGTAATTACAGTATGACAAGGTCTCTCCTGGGCCATGTAAGCTGGCATTTTTCCCAGGACTTGTCACATCATGGGAACCACACATACAAATAAAAATCCAAAAATAAATATTTTAAAACAATGGCTTATATGCTGTATAAAGAAACTCCATGGTTGATAATAAAAATTGTAAAGTCCAACCAACAGACATCCCTCACTAGAGGTCTGAGAAGATATCACTGTTATCAAGGGCTCACCACGCCTAGCAACAACTCCCAGGTGTGGACTACATGGGCAGCACCTTCCCATTCCCTCAGGCTGGACAGAAAAATCATTAAGTATAGGAAATAAAGGAAAACATCACCACACACACACCTACTGAAGCAGAGAAACAGTGGCAAAATAGAGAAGAGGTTGATTATCTTTAATTCATAATGCCAATTTGTTGATTGCCAAGGTGCCTAAACAAAGTTACCTTAAGTGCTACATCTTTTGCCAACTGAGGTAATTTTCTTAATACAATAAACATTGGGTTTTTTGTTAAGTGTATTTCACCTTGAAGTGACTAGCAGCCAAGTAGCAGTAACAGTGTATACTAAGAATCTTAGAAGGTGGTTTCTTTTGTTTAAACTGCTCTGCAATGGCTCTCCAGACACATGGCAAGACAGAGAGAGAAAGATTCCATGAAGCATCACATCCAGCCGCCTATAGTGACAGAAACTTGACAATGCTCATCCTCATGACAGGTTGAGGCAATATAATGTGTTTCTGTCTATATTTTGATATAAAATGCTAATAAATACTAAATAGCATTTCCTGTAAGCTATGTATATTTCTAACTCTCTACTAGAAGCTGGATGCATTTATAACCATCCAACAAAGCCCATCAAATTCAACTGTTCAAGTTTTCAAGAGGAGCTAAAAACTAAACCAGTAAAGGCATAAAAATACAATCCTCCTTTCCATTACGTGAGCACTGGAAACAAAAATAAGCACCAAGACAAACTGCCACCTCTAAGACACACAGCATTTCTCCTTTCTTTATTCAGCCCTGAATATTCAATAATTTCCACGTAGCTCTAAGCAGAATGGATTTATTATGATGTTACTCTAAGAAACTGCAGGAGTTCTAGATGCCAATAAAGATTACGGATCAAATGGAAGATAACTACTAACCATTGTGTCGACTTAGACAAATAAACCTGCTCACAAACAAAGCACCTTATTGTATTTGTACTGTTACCTCTACTAATCCAACTAAAACAACCAGACAGTAGCTTTCCAGAGGTTGAAGAGAATAGAAACCAGGATTTCTCAAACTCTCTTTAATTTTATTTTAAAATGACACCCTTTTTCTCTTTTCTAAAACTGTCCTGCCCTTTATGGAAAATGTTTGGGACTGCAGAGGCTCAACAAGATTATGCAAACTGGATTCCAAAGCTAAGTAAGAGTCAAGGTAGGGAAGAACTGGGAAAAAAAAAATAGGTAACACAACATCATTTCTCTGAAACTTAGCTTTAGACCTTTGAAGGAACCCTCTCCCTGCCGATCACATTGGCAGACACTTAGGAAGGCAGCTCAAAGTCGAAGCAGCCAAGTGCCACTGCGGAGAAGGAGGCAAATAAGCCCCCAACTAAATAAAATCCTGACTAGGGCAGGGTGTGGCGGTAGCCAAGCCCCCAAAAGAAAAGTCTATGGCAAGTGGCATCCAGTGCCTCAGAGAGAGAGAGAGGAAGGCAGAGAAGACCCTAAAGAAAGTCGACTTCTCAAGACCTAACAATAATTGCATCTAATGCGTTCTTTGCTAACAACACAGGTAAATTTCAATTTCTCTATTTAAAAAAAAAAAAAGCGCAAACTATTTATTCCTTCCAGCCCCACCCCTCAAACCTCCAAACCGAACAACTAATTGCGCCTTCCCCACAGAACCCGTGGCTAACCCCAGAGGATCAGTGAGGACTGGCTTGAGATGAATAAACACTCGACACCTGACGGTCCTTTCTCTGCGGTGACTTTCACGAACCAAAGTCTCCGGCTCGCGCGCGCGCGCGGGCGGGAGCCGGGACCTGGCCAGCGCGGCGCCGCGCACCCAGGTCCCGAGGCTACGCGGCGAGCAGCGCGGCGCGGGGGGCGGGGAGCGGGGCAGGAGGACCGCCCGGGCCAAGCGATTGTTTCCTCGCTGAGCAAAGACATTTTTTATCAAGCCTCTTTTGTATTCGAGCCCTACCTCTTTTTGGCCTAGGAAAGCTTTCGTGTAAGTGGAAGACGACTTTCTCCACAAAGTGCTGTATGTTACTGTGCTCCGGGCCGCGCACGAACACCATCCAGTCGTGGGTGAAGCCCTCCACTGTGGGTTTTTTCCTCACCTGGGCGCGGTGCCCCAGCTCCAGCTTCACCTGCACGGCACACTGCGGGCAGGGGGAGGAGAGACAGCGGTGAACAACAGGAAGGCGACCGACCGTTCGCTACTGAACATTGCGCCTGACATTTTTTTCCTCCTTCTTGAAACGCACATAAAAGGAAACGGCAGTGCCCTCTGCATCCACGTTTCACGCGCGTGGGCACGCACCCCCCACGCCCCCAAACACACCCGGCCCCGCGGGTGGGACTCCAGGCGCCCTGGGCCCCTCATCCACACCCGCCAGGATTGTAACGGAATGTTACCCCTAGTCGGGAAGGGGGTCGCGGGGAGAGGGAGAACACAGCCACGACAAGCTCCACAACAAATGCATCGGTAACAAATTAGAAGACAATTAGAAGGCAATGCCGGGGTGGTTTCCCGGGGTGGGAGAGGAGGTGGTTGGGACCCTGGGGCACGGTGGGTGTCTGGCGAGGCCCCCTCCCCGAAAGTACCGCGGCGACAGGCACACGCCGAGGAAGTCTTTGTGTACGTGTGTGTGTGCGTGCGTGTGGAGCGCTGTGCCAGGCGGAATGGAAACTACAGGCAGCCTCTGCTGATGGGCACAAACTCCCGTGCTCTTACCACGGGGTTCGTGAACAACAAAAATGAGACGTCGTCACACACAAACACACACACGCGCGCACACACACGCAAGAAAATACGCCGAGGCATCCATAACTTAAAGCACCCCGCTCCCCTCAGCGAAAAGCCCCACGCGATCGGCGAGGCCAGCCGAACAGAGCCCCCGCAACACACTTTCGAGAGCCAAAGTGGCCCCAAAGTACCTCCTACCTCCCCCCAAAAAATGAAATTCGGAATGGCAGGGCGGCGGGCAGACACCCGCTGAGCCTCGGCTTGCGCACAGCCGGGCGCTGGGGCAA